TCTGATTTTCAACTCACTCTGTTCAGAAGACATATTCCTCTGCTGGGGTTATCCTTGTCCTCTCTCAGGGTAATGGAAAGGAGAGATCACGATGCTGGCAACATACAGAGCATGACAGTGCTGCTAATGAGACCAGCTGCTGTGGATTAACTGGTTAACATCACTGTGGTTCGAGGCTGAAGGTGTTGGGCTGAAGGTGTTGGGCTGAAGGCGGTGCCCCATCCAGGCATGTGTCATCAGAGTCCTCACTGTGTCATGAAAACACCCTCTCTCTGGTCCCCTCTCCTCTTGTCCTCTGCTTTCTCTAGGCTCCCTGTGTCCCTCTTTGGAGAGAATGTCTGTTTTAAAGTGGACCAAGAGGTGTGCAATTTCAGGCCTCTGCAGAAAGGGGAGCACCCGGGAAAAGTTATCTTCCCTTCTGTCCCCTTCCTGCCTGGGTCGGGGAAGGGGAGCTGTGGGGAGGGCCAAGCGTCACCTCGGCCACCTTCATCCACCGCCCTTCCCCCAGCCAGTCAGACGGTCTCAGGAGAAGACTTTGTGTTTTTGCCTCCATTTGACTTGTTTCCTGAAAAATTATTTTTATCGTTCATTATCGAATTGTTTTTGGTAAAGGGTGCCTTAGAGGTAAGGAGCACCACCGCCCCTTAGGAAAGCAGGGGAGTCGTACTGCATCCGTGAGTGCACAGCATTCAAACACGGGGCTTTCCTACGGGAGATTCTTTTCATTTGTTTGGGCTGGAGTTTAAAGCAGGCCGATCCTAAGCTGTGAAGTATCCTCGTGACTAAGGGAAGAGATGGTTTGACTTTAGAGTATATCCCAAACCTCCTGGCCATTGCCTCGACCTCACTGCCTTCCCCTACGCCTCTCCCATCACTCAAGCTTGGGAACCGAAGTGCGGGACCTCTCCCTTCCCGCTTCGTGGGCCCTGATTGGTCCAAATTGGTCACGTACTCTTGCTCAGTGATTGGCTTGTGAACCTAGTTCTAAGCCAATCAGCACGCGGCTCTCTCCAGAAAGTGGTTCAAGAGTCACCCAATCAGCGCAAAGCTTAGGTTCGTAAACAGGAAAAAGAACGCGTGCGGAGCCCAGGGGAGGGTACCATTTGAGACCCTGGAAAGCCAGCTGGAGGTTGAAAGCAAAGCACAGAAAGAGCAGAGTCTCCAGAGATGCAGAGAGCCAGAACCGAGGTCCTGACCGAACCCCTGAACTTTTCTGTTGTGTGAGCAGTACACTCCCGCGGTTGCTGCTGTTTAAGCTAGTTCAAGTTGATTTTTTATTGTTCCTTCTCGAAAGCATACTGAAGCATCCGTACCTTCCCCTCCCTGGCCCATGGTGCCTGAAATTCCTACCACGGGCCCTCCATTCCACATCTCCTCGTGCGACGTCCCTTTGCCAAGCTACCGGCAGAAGGGAAGCATTTAAGATTAGACAGATGAATCAAGGAATGCTTCTCCAAGAAAGCTCTGGGGACGCCTAATATAACCACATGAATTACTGAGCTCCCTTTGCATTTGCCTCCTCTTTCTGGCCTTTGTGTTTTGTTTTGCTTTTTGTTATTGTTTCCACAGAAAGACCACCTCCCATCTGGTTCTTAACGATCAGTCCCACCAGTTTTCAAACCCCAGCTCAAGTGCTAGCTTGTCCTTGAGGCCTCCCCTGACAGCCTCAGCTGGGGAAAAAAAAAAACAAAAAACCAGCCCTTTCCCAAATGGTGGACCGCTCATCTCCGTGTGCCCGGCCCACAGTCAGTATCCCCCACAAACACACTCACTGTGAGATATTTGCCTGCAGGACAACTCCTGGGCTTATCTTTTGTAGTCACCCCAGCTCTAGCATACTGTGGCTGGGCCTTCCACATCTCCTGAGAAGGAGGCAAGGTTAGTGACTGAAAAGAATAGGTGTTTTCCTCAGGAATTACAGGCCAAAGAACCGGCTAAAGAAGTGGTTCTCAGGTGTGGTCCCTGGACCACGCCATCGGCATCACCTGGGGACTTGCCAGCACTGCAAATTCTTGGGACCTTCAGAACCAGAAACTCTAGAGGAGGGACCCAGTAACCTGCATTGTAACAAGCTCTCTGGATACTGTTGCACTTTATAGTTTGAGAACCAGTGGAGTAGAGGAAAATCTTAAACTACCAACTGAGGAGCAAATGAGCCTGTTTATCCAAGAGCAGGACTGAAGTGAAGATCGAGGTGAGTTGTGGGTCCTTTTCTCTCCTGGAGGTTGGGCATTTATTCTTTCCTTTTTGCCAACCCTAAGATGACATGCTTACTTTCTCCCAAGTTTCTTTACATTTCTGAATTTCTAGATTTCCTTTTTTGGTAGAATTAAACCCAGAATAACAGGATTCCTTGGGGGATCTGTCAGTAGCTCAAACAAAGAATTTATCAGGCTACTCTGGTGTGCCAGGGCAGAAGCTGTGGCATAGCTCAGTAAAGACAGTGCAGTGATAAACATGTGGATAGCTTTCTTTGGAGCTGTCCCATGAGGCCTGCTTGTGACCCTTGTCTGCTCCATCCCTCTGTGCCTGACTCGCCCTCACTCCAGAACCAGGAAGTATCCTGTTCACTATGCATTTCATGACTGATCTCGAAATTCCATGGCTCCTGAAATGTCCACCCAGTCACTGTCTCCACTCAGCCGCTATGGCCAGCCCATCTCAGTCTCACGTGCCCTCACTCCACTCTGCCTCTGTCCAAGCAAAAAGGGATCAATGAAAGGCACAGCTAGAACCTTTGACAAAAGACTGGATTTGTGACTTGATTTTCATAATCATCACAGAGATATCACCTTGTATGCATGGATTTAACTTGACCCTCCATTCCTATGAATTATGAGAACTCATTTAAATACGGTACTGATATATACTAAAAAGGATCAGGCCAGATGATATTGAGAAATCCCTGCCTCTCCTTTTAGATAATATATGCCCCATCAACCATTTCCAAACAAAAAATAGTTTTTCTTGGGGACACCTGGGTGGCTCAGTTGGTTAAGCAGCTGCCTTCGGCTCAGGTCATGATCCCAGCGTCCTGGGATCGAGTCCCACATCGGGCTCCTTGCTCATCAGGGAGCCTGCTTCTCCCTCTGCCTCTGCCTGCCATTCTATCTGCCTGTGCTTGCTCTCTCTCTCTCTCTGACAAATAAATAAATAAAATCTTTAAAAAAAAATAGTTTTTCTTATTTATCATAGATGTGTTCTCAAATATAGTCCCTTTTGTTTTGGTCTCAAACACACTGTTTTTAAGGTCAAAAGATTCCTCGAAAAATCTAATTTCCTATGTTATTTTTGTTTAATCATGGCATCAAAAATGTGTTGCTCCTACTGCTTTAATAGTTTGTATTATGAAAGCATTTGGAAGTTTTAGCAAAACAAAAAAAAAAAGAGAGAGAGAGAGAGAGGTTTTTTAAAATTAACCAAGAAGAACTGGCCTTTGGGGAGAAGCTAGGATATAACACATACCTTAGGTACATTTACTCATGTCCCCATCACTCCTGTCAGAGTGGATGTTGCTATCATCATTTTATAGATGAGAAGTTCAGACAAGCTGGAAACTGGGCTAGAGTCAGGATTTGATTGGAAATCTGACTCTAGAGCCTGGACTTTACTCAGCACCCCTGCTTCCCCCACACATCCACCCAGGTGACAACACCCACTGTTTCCTCCTTGCAAGGGCTCATATCTACATGTAGGTGTCCATGGGGTGCTTAAAAACGAATTAGATGGGGGCAGGGGGAGGAAAATTTTTGCAGTTGACAAAAACAGGAATTCCACCCGACCCAAAAGTCTGCCCCAAATTGTGACTGTTTTTGCAAAACTTCAAAATAACTTTGGCACCAGACTTGTTTTAAATCCTGATTTCCCAGATCTGAACATGCTTATTGACCATCGGTGCCTGTTAATACAGAATTTGTCAGTTTGTTGATTGAGGTCACTCCCCGCATCCTGGATTTTGGTTCCAAAGCCTCACAGCAATTTACCCTTAGCTGGTGTGCTGTAAAACAAATCATCTCTTACCATTCCTGGTTACTTAAGCTTCAAAAATGAAGGATACCTTTGCTTCAGGAAAAGGTTGGCAAAGGGAAATATTAGAGCGGAAGCAGCTCTAAATGCTGTTCTTGCTTTTATCTATTTTTAAATGATTGCCAGATGTCTATAACTGACACCCTTCATCAGTGGTTTTCAAGTTGAGATGTGTTCAGCTTAATGCAATGTGACAGTGGTGCCATTTTATTGATGGATTTGTTGATTGACTTTTTGCCTTAGATTTTTAAAGATTCCGTTTAACAACTGGAGTAGAAGGTCATGCCTATAGTTAACAATACCATATTGTACATTTTAAAATTCATCGGGATAGTAGATGTCAGGCTAAGTCTTCTTCAATTTTAAAAAAAAGTGGGGGGAGAGAGGAAAGCAAATCTACCTAATGACTCAATGAGTGCGTCAGCCATCTTGAAATGCCTGATAGCTTTTCAGCAATTTGCATTCTGGGTGTCATTGTGAGTCCACCCAGAGAGTAGGGATTTTCAATCATTCATATAATTCAAGCAATAACTTTTGACTAAAATCCTCAAATATTCCAGGCAAAAGGATCTGGGGCCTGAGTTACCTGGATAATTACTTCAGTTTTTCAGGTTACTTTGCAAAGCCTTTGCAGATCACTCCTTTGAGTCATCCTCTATGTTTGTTTTCTCTGCGTGTTGAGAGAGCCCTGATGTGAGAAAGTCCATTTTAATTGCTGCCAGGCCAAAATAAACAGACAAGAAAAATAACCATTTCCAAAAAAAGGGTCTCAATGGACCTAAAGTACAAATGATAATTCAACCACTTTTTTAAAACCCTAGATAGCCAAATGTGCCAGACAGCCCCTCCTTGTTCCCTCCTGTTCTAGGTCATAAGGAAACCATCGGCTTTGTTCCTTACTGCAGATAATGCAAACAGCTACATATTTAAAGCGCGGCCATTCCTTATGTAAAAACCAAAGGCTAGATACTTACTTTTCAATACCTTTTATCCAAGAGACGTGATAAGAGGACTGGCTCGGCTGTGGGCTCCCTGGGCTGTGTGGGAGGTATTGACTGGGTGTCCCTGCTCCTGGGACAGGGGATTCAGAGAAGTTACAAGGTTCAGGGTCTTTTCCCCATTCGGGTCAAAGCACAGTTGGGTCTGTTTCCAGAAAAGCTCCTATCTTCCTAAGAGGGAAAATTCCGTTCCCCGGGGAACTTCTGGAAGAAGACTTTTTTTTCCCTGCCCTTGAATGAACTAGGTCATTGCTGAAGCTGGAGAATATTTTTTAGCATCCCTGTGATGAAACTTGAGGGCTGTTTCTGCAGGAGGTGTGACACTTGTTGACGCCGCGGGGGAGGCCCTGGCAGAGGGGGCTGGTGAAATGCAGCTCCAGTAAGCTGATGAAACAACGCAGACGAGCTGTCCGAGCTGTCCCCGAGGCTCTGTCCCCGAGGCTTGGGACACTGAGCGCCGCTCTCAGGGCTGTGCAGGACCTCAGGTTTAGTGGCTTGCCTCTTAGAAAAGCAGAATCTTGCTGTCTGATAAAGTCTGTGAGGCCAGAGTAACACGGGCAGTTCTCATACCTAGAATACAAGGCATTTGAAGCACACATAGGAAACCCGTGCAGGGGGTGGAAGGGGGTGGAGGGGAGGGGAAAGAAGAGGCATGATGTTGTTCGTTTAGAACTGGCATTACAGTCGTTCTCTGAAGTTCTCTGAAAAACGCAGAAACCACTGCAAGGCGGGATCCACCCTCCTCCCCCCCCCTGTCATGGTCCTCCCCCCACACCCCTCCCTCCCTTCCTCTCTCTCTGTCTCTCTCTCTCTCTCTCACATACACACACACACACATACACACACATTCTCTCTCTTCCTATTTTGACCATAGTAGTAAGAAGAGAGGAAGCACACCATAGAAGAACCCCCACAAATCCGTCAAACTGTCAAGAATTGTTCATGTTACATACCAAAGTAGAATTTGTCACGCGGGCATTTCTTTTATTGAATTTTGTCCAAATCCAAGACAGAAGATTAAAAAAAAATCCAGACGTGTTCTTCTGTAACTACTTTGCTTCTCTGAAAAAGTGTGTGCCACACCTGGAAATGGACAGCTTGGAAAGAAACGTCTCAGGACACTCACAGAGACGGCTAAAATTAGCAGCTCTGAGTGGGTGACTTTGAAAGGAACATAACTGGATATATTCACTCCGTACCGGGCAGCGGAATCCTCAAAAGCAGACTGTTCTTACACAGTGCAACGTATGCATCTCTACACCAGGATGGAATGAAATTTTCACAAGAGGAGAAGTCTCATCTAAAGTTATTAAATATCAAGAAGTATACGGCTGATGTGTTCTGTTTCTCAGTTTTCTGAAAGCCGAGAAACTCTAAAGTAATGACTGTCTCATTGGAAACACATCTATGAAATGCAACCACGTGTAGAAATTACCACCCCTTGGTGACAGTAGCCATCGGCTGGTTTTATTTAAAGCTGGATCCTCTTCACAGAGGCTCTTTCCAAGTAAAAGGAGAGAACATTAAGTTAAGAGAGCAGATAAGAGGAAGGTGTGATGATAAAAAATAAACAAAAGTTATCACACAGCAACAGGACAGGATAAAGACAAAAGGGATCCAACGTCCCAGTGCGGTAGACAGACGCATGCGGTCATGAGAGAATTGTTGCCTGGGAGTTCTTAAATGGAAAAGTTGACACTCATTATGAAACATGTTTTTGTTCCTGACAAACAGTCAGCACCTAGCATTTATCTTCTATAAAATAAGTTTAAGGAGCAGAGGATTAAAATATACATTTATATTTATATTTATATATGTTATATATAGTAGATTTGCCTACATATGTTTTATTGCTTAGCTCATTCACCTGCAGTCATAGAATTTCTCTTTTAATCTTAGGTTTTGGGGGCAGGAACAGAAGACAATCAGAAACAGACCTTGGGAGTAAACTCAATGAGGCCAGGACACTGAATTTTCTGTGATTATTCAAAGAGGGGATGGAAGGCTTAAAGTGCTAAAGAGGAAAAGGAGGACATGTATTTGTGCCCCTTTAACAGCATCCCCAAAATACCTGAGTTTGTGATTAAAAATGAAGACCTAACGATGTGTAGCATCATTCCAGGTCAAGTAGTATGGCATAGAAGAAAATACATGTAAGTTACCCCTTTTTCTGAAACTAGAGGAGGAAAAACAAAACCCTCCTTTTGTAAGGGGACTATCCATCCGAAGAGCAGAGTTGGAAATGTATTTCTTATCAGGTGTCTTTTAACGGCTTCTCTCAAAGACCTTTGGGGCTTGGTTATTTTCTTGGCTTCGCAAACGAACGGGCGCCTCGCAATTCCTCAGCTACTCTAGGCTTTCTGGGGACCAGACCTAGTCAGTTCCCAACTAATCTGAATATTTAAAGCCAATTCATTAGGTTCTCAAGCTGCTTTTCACTCCCATAAATTGGGCTTGAATTGGTACGTGAGGAGTTTATCTGCTCATTTTATCCCTCCTGGCAGAGGAGGCCCTCAAATGTCTGTGTCTAATGGTAGGAGTGATGAATGCCCTTTCCAGCAGAGCACATTCTTGGCGGAGGCTTGGTACCAATCACATGTTAGGTCAGATCAGATTTTCTGCCAGGGTCCTTGGGCCAAGCTGGAGCTGAGGCAGCCACTCCAGCTTCAGGGCACAGTCAACATTTGGGGAGAGTCCCCCACCACTGAGAGCATCAGCTCAGGTTCCCTCTCTCAACAGTCCATCCCTACCCAGGGTCCAGGGGTTCTCATAGTTTCTGCACTGTGTGTGGCATCTTGTTCGGTGGACACGACCCAAATCCAACTCTCGCAACCTTCATTCCGTTCCCCATATTTCCAATCAGGTAGGTCAACTCAACAGGCATTTTGATCTCTTAAGTAGGGTGGCAACAGAAATATCAGTGTAAATGGGACTGTGTTCTCTCCTGATGTTTTTCATACCAGGTAGCGGACAAAATTCTTTGTGAGAATATGAAGTTTAAAAAATATATGCAAAAAGGGTTCTTGGCTGGCTCGGTCGGTGGAACGTGCAACTCTTGATCTTGGGGCCATGAGTTCAAGCCCCTTGCTGGGTGTAGAGATTACTTAAAATCTTCATAAAAAATATTTACAAAATAACTTTTAAAATGCAATTTTCTCAGAATTCATATCTAAGAGAGGCTTTTCCAAATATATGAATGTAGTTTGGAAGTTAGATTTCATTTTCTCCCCGAGTCTCAAAATAATAAATGGGAATCAGGTTCACAGAACACCTTACGGAAGTATTTAATCCATCATGTTCCCAAAGTACCATATTTCAGCTTCCTAAAACCACAAGGATCAAAACTAGGGTAAAATTCCATTTAACTAAATATGAAAGTCTAACTATCTGCAAAAAAATATCCAGACTTCAACTTCCAAGATAAAATTTTGGCACAGCTTTAATTTTAAAAACAGACATTTAAAAAAAGCATTACAACTCTCAGAAGAGGAGCAAAATTCCAATTTTCATAAATATGTATGCTAAGCCATAAGCCCAATATCACAATTACTAAGTAAAATTAATTAGTTGAACAATGCATGGAAATTAAGGTTCTAAAAAATACTTGTGTATGCTGTTTATACATTTTAATATTTTTAAATTTTATAAAATTTAAATTTTATAAATTTTATAAAATTTTCCTTTTTAAGGCTTTACTTCTGATTCTAAGAAGAGGGTAAACTCTTTATTGGTAATCCTTGATATTTTGATTTTGATATCTCCCAGTACCCAGAGATAGCCACCATTTTGACACATTTCCTTCTATCTCTTTTATTTTCCCTTTCTGAGAGCTTATATACTCAGAAAGTGACTTTAATGGGTGAAAACTGTGAACATTTTAAGGTTTTGAAACATATTGTTAGATAAAATGCTAGTAGTTTCCACCAGCAGGTCTGAGCCCACCTATCTCACTGAGAGGGCAACATCTGGCACTAAGCATATCACTGAAAAAGTCTGGCTAATCTGAGAAACAACACTGGTATTTTAATATACATTTCTCTGCTTACTAATAAGGCTTGGTATTGACTCATGAGTTCATTGGCCTGTTTTCTTTTACTGATTGTCTCCTTAATTTTTTTGGTTAACTTTGAGTATTTTCCTTTGGCACATATAAAAGCATTTCATATGTAATTTGCTGGATATGGGCCCTATCTTTCAATTTATGGTTTGCCCTTTTATTTGTGAAGTTCTGATATACAGAACCTATGAATTTATACTAAAAATGATCTCGCAGTGAGGAAGGAAGGAGGAATTGTTGTTTCATGAGTTCTGAGTTTCAGTCTTGCAAGATAAAGAAGTTCTGGAGTTCTGTTTCACAACAATGTGAATGTACTTAACACTCCTGAGTTGCACACTTAGAAATGGCAAATGTTGTTATTTTTTTTTAATGACCACAGAAAAAGAAATCTATCTTTTTCCTATAGTTTCTTCCTGGGCTTCTAAAGCCTCCATCCCTCTGCGCACTTACCCACTGTCCATGCTTCTCCAGGCAGAGCAGAGAGTAAAGCTGGGTCTGAAGCAAGCCCTTCCCCCTTTTTCGTGTTACTTCATCTGTGCTAATATCCTGGGTTAGTTTGCGTCTTTTTCCTTAACCCACATATCTGAGATTCTCAGTTTCCTTGTTGCTGTCGGGACTTCTACCCTTTATAACTAAGAGACTGATATGGCTAGGATTTTGATTTGGAAACTACATTTTCCCCTCATTAAAAATATAATGAAATGGGAGTTAAGACCTTTAGCTGTGACTGAATAAAGAGGCTAGAAGAGCTTCTCCCTCGAAAGCAACTATAAAGATAGATAATACAAAAAAGAAAGAAAGAAAGATTGGGTGATATAGACAAGCAGCCATTTTGTGCTCTAGTTAAAAACCAAAGGCGTGCAAAAATTTGAGAAGCACTTATGATTGAAAAAGTTCTCAATCTGGGGCACTAACAATCAATCTTTATGGCATTCTTGCCCAGACTTTCTCCCAT